ATCATCCTGTTTATGATTGGATGAATCACATCTAAATACACGTTTCTGTATATATATGCAGACACATGTTTTTTTTTCCCATAGTACATGTTATTTACTATCACAAATATTCCTGACCCAGGACAAGCTATGGTTTCATGCTGTTGCATTTTCTGCAAACTTTTTTGTTATGAGTTATCAACCAAAGCGGGCTTCCCTCCCCATCATTCAATTTGCTGTATTAGGAGCTTCCAGAAAATGTGTTACAAAACAAAGTCCTTAATTCTTCCCCTCACATTCCTTGCCCTATCTCTGTCTTATCCCTGGTAGCGTCAGTGAAACCTAATAGGCTTTCTTTAGGCAATGTGGGATAAAGGCGAGAAAATCAAGCTCCAGGCATCGGTTGTTTTCACAGAGCTTGTATCATTGTTGGTGCTTATTTGTCATGTAAGACAAAGGATATTGGATGCCTTCACTCAAGTCATCTGAGCGGTTTTAGACATTTCTTATCATTTGTTCACCCACATCGGTAGTTGTAAGTTAATGCTCATTGAAATAAAACTTGACTTGTACCTACCGTGCATCAATGAGTCTGTGAAAATGGATCCAAGTTTTCATTGATATTTGCTGGGAAAAATTTCATTACCATCCTGCATTTTTCAATAACTTCGTGGTTTTGGTTGGGATAGAGCTAATTTTCTTCCTAGTAGCTGGTACAGTGCTGTGTTTTGGCTTTAGTCTGAGAATAATGTCAATAACAAACTGATGGTTTAGCTGTTGCTAAGTAGTGCTTAGTCTAAATCAAGGACTTTCCAGTTTCCCATGCTCTGCAAGTGAGAAGGGGCACAAGAAGGGAACACAGCCAGGACAACTGACCTGAACTAGCCAAACGGATATTCCATACCATAGAATGTCATGTTCAGTATAGAAATGGGGGGAGTTGGCGGGGAGGGGCTGGTTGCTGCTTGGGGATGCGATGGGCATTGGTCACCTGGTAGCGAGCAATCTTATTTGTGCATCACTTGGGTTTCTTGGTTTTTATTCCTCTCTCTTTTCCTTTTATTGTTACTATTGTTGTTACTTTTGTTATTAATAGTAATACTAATATTATTATTATATTTCACCTTATTTCAATTATTATACTGTTCTTATCTCAACCCATGGGTTTTACTTTTTATCAGTTCTACTCCCCAGCCTACTGGGGCATGGAGCAGGGAGTGAGTAAATAACTGCAAGGTGCTTAGTTGCCAGATGGTGTTCAAGCACGACAGATAACTGTAGCACCCACCTTTGTTTTTAAAGAAGTTCCCATGGCAGTGGTTAATAGACTGGATCAGAGAACAGCTACAAGACTTGTTCAGAAATGGATGAGCACAACTAGAATTACTGTTGTGGGCGATGTTTGGGTCATACAAGGCAACCAGGAAAATGACTTACCTACCTAAGTTTCATATTTAGTTATAGGCATCCTTGTGTTCTGTATGAAAAACCCTGAAGCTTTCAGTTGAAGTGGCAATACTTGGTTCTTTAAAAACCAACCAGCCAGCTAAAAAGCCTACCCACCCACTTTCTAGATCATCTGGAGGTCTCGTGAAACTGTAGGTCCTGCCGAGAGCTGTAGTTAGAAGTAGTTCCTAGGCTTAAAAGTGAGCAATTCCATGTTCTGGACAGGAAGTGTTTGAGTGCTCAGTTTGATTTTAATACTGGTACACTGGGCAGGGAAGAAAGGGAAGTCAAGGAACGAAAGGAGCATAAAGTGGTTGTCTTGAAAAAGACCAATAGCATGGTTATTTAAATTATTTGCAACATAAGTAGTATGTATTCTGTTCTACTGTGTATCATTTTACGTAGGGCTAAATTGAGGAACGCGAAGTTCATTTTGCTACTCATTCGTGTTAGTGCAAACTGTTCCTTTTAGTTCTGACATGAAATGTTAAGCACTATTTCTGTACAGGAGTTTTAAGCAATCTTTACTGAGGCTTTGTACTGTTGTAGACTTTAATTTTACATAATGTGATGCAAAAGCACAGTTAACTGGAATCGTTTTACTTGAAATACATGTAAAAATGCAACTGCTGTGGTTTTTGGGGAAAGCTGCACTAAAACTTAGGAACCTGCTAGGTATCCTGTGTAAGTAACATCAACTCAGCAGGTTTTTAATCCTGTAGTAGAAGCCTGTCAATGCTATCATTTCCAATAGTTCTACAAAGGCTATCTCTGAAGTCTTCAGTAGCTTGTGTAGTTGCGTAGGTTGAAATCCCTCTCCCTTCAACCAAGTGTACGTAGACTGTTGATTACTTGTGCTCTTACTGAACAGGGAAGGAAGAACTGGAGATGGAGTGAAATATCTCTATTCCTTCTGAAAACCTTGTTTTTGTTGGAAATGTGATATTTCTTGAATACTAGGCACCTCTAAACACAGATGTTACGACTTGTGTAGACTTCCCTGCTGTAGTTTTTCATTTCTGCTTTCTTCAGTCTGTATCTTTACTGTGAAGATGGTAAAGCACTGGAGCAGGTTGCCCAAAGAAGTGGTAAATGTTCCATCCCTGGCAATGTTCAAGGCCAGGTTGGACAGAGCCTTGGGCGACATGGTCTAGTGTAAGGTGTCCTTGCCCATGGTAGGGGGGTTGGAACCAGATGATCTTAAGGTCCTTTCCAACCCAAGCCATTCTACGATTCTATCTACCTGGTAATATCTACTATGATCTAAAAGTGTCTTCTGGTGCATGAGCTTCAGTGTTAAGTGCTTGCATGTTCTGCCCTCTGCCAACAATCTAATAATATTCTGATTTTTCCTCTCAGTTTCTTTTGGAACCATGACTCATTAATTCCAGTTGATTCTTTAATTACCTGAAAAATTAACTCATGTTCTAAACAGCAGAAATTGTATTAGCATTTTGGCTGGTTAACCTATCATAATTTTTCCATCTTAGGGGCATATACATCTGATCTTTTTTGCCCAAGAATACCTGAATTTTGCTATTAAAGTAATCCTAGTTTGGCTAGTTTGCCAGTCAGTATTTTGCCTCTCCACCCCCACTTTCCCTTGTGTCAGTACATTAAATTAGTAAGGTTTTTTAATTCTTTGCCCTTCCCATGCTGTGTCAGACTCATTTGCTTCATCTTTGCTTTCTTGGTGCTCTTGAGAATTCTCTCCATAAGAGAATGCCAGTGCATTCTTTCCAGTATATTTTTCAGTCCTGAAGTGCCAAATTTTGAAGAATATGTGTATAAAAATCCTCTGGTGACTTAAGCTGGTCTTTCCAATGAAAAGAGGAATTGACTGAATATCAATAAGGAAAAACGATTGCTAGACCAACTGTGTATGCTGATATTACTTTGAGTCTGCTCCTTAAGTGTTTATGTGATAGGAATGACTGTAATTTAATTTAGACTAGAGGGAATATTTCTAAAAGCACAAAAGAACTGTATTTGTTTTTCAGTCAGTGAGGCATGCAGCTAACTATCCTTGTCAGTTCTGCAGAATCTTCAGTTCCTTTAGGATGCCTGATGGTGCAATGTGAAATACATGAAGTCAGAAAAGGGGCACGTACAGTAGACCTTGAAATGTGGTATCTTAATTTTGATCTGGTTTAATGCTAGGAATAATTCTAAATTATTTGTACTGTTGAAAAAAAAGCGGGGGGAGAGAGATTGGGACTGTGAGTGATTTGTAATAGGGGTCTTGCAACCTTCTGCCAGTGATTCCACAGCTTGCATTAGAAAGTTAGGTTTGTTAATTGCTATAATTTCTAGTATGTTCGCAGGGTTGGAGACCACGGAAGAGTCGGATGTTTACAAACAAGGTTGATAAGCCACTGTTTTCAACTGGTTTACTAAGTACATTGAGTAGATTAAGTCATAGCATCCAAATTAACACTTTTATGTAATTTGTTTGAGGAACCTGAGCTTGATACACTTCTTCTCTTTAATGAGGTTATGATGCCTTATTAATTTATTTTCACATGATTGGTCTTCTAGGCAATTGTATGGTATGATCTTAAGCTTTTAACCTTTAATGCTTCAGGCTTACTGCAGCATGATTAAGCTAAAATTATGTTTTGACAGGTCTATGACTGGAGGAGCCATTAGAGCAATTCTAACTTCTAATTCTTTGGGAGTTGTAAACTTAATTGGTAGTGATGAATCTTAGTTGGCCTATAATTTTTTTGCGTTTCTCCCTTCTTGCAGTACAGTTATGTTTCTTTTTTCATGGGTTTGTCTCTAAGAGTGAGATTCCTTCTTCCCCAAAGGAAATGGTCTAATTTCTTAAGGTACATGAATAATAAAGATTCTATGGGACAAACAAGATCCCTAGGGAGCTTTCAGTGACTCGCATCCGTTTGCTGTTTCTTCCCTAACTACTAGCTGTTGTACTATTTTTTTTTTCTAGTAGACAATAGTAGAAGTACTGCATTTGCACTGATTATGTTTCTCTAAGAATTACAACTATTAGTACTTGTTGATATTGTTACATAAGTTATAATACGTTGCTTATACCCTTCAAATCAGGTGGTTTGGGTTTTATACTTCTTTCAATTTTTTGTCTAGGTTTCTTCAAGTTAGAACTTTGATCGTTGTTTTTCATCAGGCTTTGCCTTTCAATAAAGCTATTCTGGGGAGATGGGATATGTTCCAAAATGTGTGGGGGTTTTTTTAAGGTCTAGAGGCATAAAAAACTTAGCGCTTTTTAAAAACATTTAGGAACTGCTCCGAGAAAGTGTATTTAGAGCATTTAGCAGCTGACCTCTGTCTTGAAAGTGTTTTATCTCCTGTATTCATTATCATGAATGAATATCTAAATGTGACTTTTGGTTGCAAATTTGCAAGGTTAAAATAGTATTGAATTGCAAAAAGCAGTTTTACCTTGCAGTGACTTACTAATCAGCTGACGCCTTATTTAAGCCATAGGAAGGTGTAATATAAAGGCAGTGAGAGGCTTTGGTAGACCAGCTGGAATGGAGTGGAACGGAACAGAACAGAACAGAATTATTTATTTTCATGTGACTGTTTTACAGGTTGAAAATTGGTGTCCTCGTTTACCTTGGAGAGCAAAAAATCCTAATGAAGAAACTGATGAAAAAACAGTGGTAAGGATAATGTTAAAATATGAGAAATAATTCAGTAATTGTGATTCATGCAGAAAATCCTGGAATCCTGTGCCACATAAATGCTGATAAGACTAGAATTTACCATTTTTATTCCTCAGCTCCTCAAAACTGAAGGGAACATCCTTGACTGTATGTATGTAGCTCATTATGTATTTTCTCCAGTCATTGTATCACATTGCAGTCTTGGTGGTAGATTTTCATTCAAAACAATTTTGTGCTTAAATTTGTGAAATAATGTATCTGAGATACTGAGAAAAATTCCAGAAATTAACAAATCTGTTCACCACTATTAAGTGACCATATGTGAAACTGCCCATTTTTACAGATTTGTGAATCTGGGCCTTACCTATAAAAATGCCTTGATGGAAGAGGTATATATACATTTCAGTTCTGTAGTAACATTTTGATTACTCCTTTTTTTTTTCTCCTTTAAAAACTCTACAGCATGCAGGTTGTTTCTAAATGCTATAGCCTAATTATGTAGCACATAGATATTTTAAGATAATCACTGGGCTGCATATGAACATTGCTTACGTAATTTAGATATAGGCTGTCTCATTTTGTAAAACCAATTGTTCTTAGATCAGCCTAGCTGTAAAAGGAGTATTTCCTTTAAAATTTGTAATCGAGTAATGTTTCTACCTTTATGGTATAATAGGAAGCTTCCTGGTATTTTTGGAAGATTCAAGATATACACAAATCCTCATCATACTGAATCTTCAGCATACTGTTCTGATTTTATATTATGTTTTAGAGACACTTTAACTTCATTTTGAAGGACATAGAATCATAGAATGGTTTGGGTTGCAAAGGACCTTAAGATCATCTAGTTCCAACCTCCTGCTATGAGCAGGGACACCTTGCACTAAACCATGTTGCCCAAGGCTCTGTCCAGCCTGGCCTTGAACACTGCCAGAGATGGAGCATTCACAACTTTCTTGGGCAATCCATTCCAGTGCCTCACCACCCTCACTGTAAAGAACTTCTTCCTTAGATCTAATCTAAACTTCCCCTGTTTAAGTTTGAAGCCATTACCCCTTGTCCCACCACTACAGTCCCTAATGAAGAGTCCCTCCCCAGCATCCTTGTAGGCCCCCTTCAGATACTGGAAGGCTGCTATGAGGTCTCCACGCAGCCTTCTCTTCTCCAGGCTGAACAGCCCCAACTTTCTCAGCCTGTCTTCATACGGGAGGTGCTCCAGTCCTCTTATCATCCTCGTGGCCCTCCTCTGGACTTGCTCCAACAGCTCCATGTCCTTTTTATGTTGAGGACACCAGAACATGAGCAAAATAAAATCTTATATTGCAGAAATAAATACATTGTGAAACATTACAAACATAATGCATTTAAGACCAGGTTAAATGAGGTTTTGAGCAGCCTGATCTAGCAGAAGGATGGCTGGAACCAGATGATCTTTAAGGTCCTTTCCAACCCAAACCATTCTGTGATACTCTGGGGCTACCAAATAGTAGTAATAAAAATAACAGTAAGTTATGTGATTTAGAAATGTCTGTTTAAAGCTGTCTTAAATGTTTGAACTAAAATCTCAGCTTGACTTTAGTGTTAGGAGTGTATCTTATTTTCTTTCTTTTCTATTGTCTTTTTGAGTGAGGAATGTAGAGCACAGTTCACATTTGACAAGTTTTTTCACTTCTGGAAAGTACACTGTTTGACGACTAACGAATGTTTTGGGGTTTTCTTAATGTTTTAATTGAAGGCTGAAATTCGTATCAACTTTGATAATCTCTACAAAATGATGTCAAGACATGAGGAATTCAGGTGGATGATGTTACGCATCAGACGAATGGCTGATACCTGGATTGAAGCGATCAAATCACTTGCAGAAAAACAAAGTTTGGAGAAGAGAAAACGAAAAAAGGTAAATAAAAAGATTTTTCATTCCATTGCAGTTGTATAGGCTCTTTTAAACTTCTTACTCCAGAAGTAACTGCAGTGTGGAAATACCAAATATGTACAAAAGGCTCATGTTTATGTGTGCCTCTTTTCAAGAAGTATTTTGCTGTTTGAAGTTACTGTTACAGTGGGTATTTACTGTAACAAATAGTTTCACACACTTTCCATGAGTTACTCTTTAAGTAAGTTTTTTAGCCTCTTTAATTCTGGATAAAATAGAGAATATATAGAAGATTCTAAAAGGAAAAACTGAATTTACAGCAAGCTGATGAAAACAAAGTGGTTTATGTAATGGTGCAAAACAGTTGCACATCTTTTTTGTCCAAAATGGAGACTTTAAACAGTGTAATTCTCATTTTAATTTGAGTAGACTTGAAGTTGACAACAGCTTTAGATTGGATATGTTTAATTACTTCACTAGTTAAATAGAGCTCAAAGTTGTAAACACCACAGTGGGTTTCCCTTCCTGCCTTGTTCTTAATGGAGCCAGCCCTAAGAGACAGCAGGCCATGCACAGGCATGTTTTACCCTCTCTTTAAGCCTGGCTGGCTGCAGCGCAGCTCCTTGCTGGAGAGTCTCAGTCCTTGCATGAGGTCTGGGGTCCATGTTGCAGCTCTGATATTTGTCACCTACTGTAGTCCTGGAGTAGACTCACCCTTTGTCAAGGAGCAGCCCGTCTGTTTCAAGCAGCCCTCCAACCTGTTTTATTAAAGAAATCTAACATCTGAGAACACTAAACTCAAGAATAAACAGAAGCAGTACTGTCCTGCACAGGCAGTTTTGATGGGATGCTCTAGTGCTTATTCTTTGCTTTTAAAAAATAATGATGATTTCATTTTAATATGTCCAGCTCAGTTCTGGGATCTGCAAGAGATTAGAATAAAATGGTTTTTTGAATGTTGCTTCTTTATAAAGACTGACATATCTTTATAAAATCTTTACAAAGGTTTATGGTGTTCGTGGGGTTTTATGCTTGCCGCTGTATGTACCCAGACTCAACAGCCAGATATTTAGCAAAGTGTTTGGAGCTCAATTTCTCTGCTTTGCTAGAAACGCAAGCAGGGATTTCAGAGAAATACAGAGAAAACTCTCCTCTGGTGACAATGGAGAGAAGAGGTTTGGAAAGCATCCTGCTACTATTATGCAGTCTTTTCAAGCTCTTATGGGCTTGTCCCATCCTTAACTATACTGTCACACACACAAGTGTGTACTACTGGAGCATATAAGTGGTTATTCAAAGTAAGTTGCCAACCATACCCTGGGCTGCATCAAAAGAAGTGTGACCAGCAGGTTGAAAGAGGTGATTCTGCCCTCTACTCTGCTTCTGTAAGATCCCATTTGGAGTACTATGTACAGTTCTGGTATCCCCAACAAAAGAAGGACATGGAGCTGTTGAAGCAAGTCCAGAAGAGGGCCATGAGGATGATAAAGGGGCTGGAGCACTTCCCATACACCAACAAGCTAAGAAAATCAGGATTCTTCAGCCTGGAGAGGAGGCAGTTGCATGGAGACCCCATAGCAGCCTTCCAGTATCTGAAGGTGGCCTACAAGGATGCTGGAGAGGGACTTTTTATCAGGGACTGTAGTGATAAGACAAGGGATAATGGGTTCAAACTTAAATAGTGGAGATTTAGGTTGGATATAACTAAGAAATTCTTTACAGTGAGGGTAGTGAGGCACTGGAACAGGGTGCCCAAGGAAGTTGTGAATGTTCCAACCCTGGCAGAGGTCAAGGCCAGGTTGGGCAGGGCCCTGACCAATCTGGTCCTAGTGTGAGGTGTCCTTACCCATGGCAGGGGGGTTGAAACTAAATGTTCTTAAGGTCCTTTCCAACCTAAACCATTCTATGATTCTATAATGTGATCCACAACTTTCTGTGCAGAATTACAGATTATTTTGTGAATAACACCATTCTGGAATATGGTTTTAATTACTGATCTGGTGGCAGATAATTGTGCAAAACAATGCGGCAACATTCTGATAATTATTGTTATTGTTATTGAGATTCATTACAGAATTTAGTCATTGGGGTGGAAGTGTTGGATTTTTTTGGGTTGATATTTTAGCCATAGTTGGAATTTAATAGAACGAAAACATGCCGTTGAGGTATAATGGTTGCATATTCAATGTTGATAACTCTTAACATATGACTTTCCTTTCCAGATTCTTGTTCATCTGGGGCTCTTGACAAAAGAATCTGGATTCAAGATTGCAGAAAATGCATTTAGCGGTGGCCCACTTGGTGAATTAGTCCAGTGGAGTGATTTAATTACATCTCTCTACTTACTGGGCCATGATATCAGGATTTCAGCTTCACTGGCAGAGCTCAAGGAGTAAGGAGATTACTTTCACTTTTGAAACTGGAATACAAAAAAGGAATTGTAAACTCTTAAAGCTTCTATTAACAGTATATAATTTCTTGAAGCACAAAATGAAAGTGATAATTCACTAAACATACGATAGATTATTCTTAAGAGCTGAATGTGTACTATGAAAAGGATAATGTGTTTCTTTGTGGCTTCAGTCTCCTGAGACTTCATAAATGAATGTTGTAAAATTCAAACTAAGCAGCTTATCTTTGACATTGCAGGTGCTTTAACCAGCTGCAATAGGAAATGTTATAGACTAGCCTAATTCTGTGTCCTTTTCTTCAGTTTCTGCTACTCTTCGTGCAGTATCTCATTTTAAAATAAAAGTTTAGATCCTTTAAATGCATTACTTTTGATGTACTTAATTGCTAATATTAGCTCAAATTGCTACCTTGCTCATCTTTGTCTTGCTCTACATACTTGTTCAGCATTAGGCATAAAACATCTGTTTTAAGCTTGAGCACATACACTTTTTCTGGAGCTTTTGGTGTTTTTTATAACAAACATGACAGCATCATTTTATAGAGAGCACTTATACTATGAAGCTGTCAATAGAAGTCTGAAATTATTTAAAATAATTTCAAAGAACACTATTTTTAAATTACAGCCGCATTACTCTTGTTTAAACTAGATGGGGATTTTAGTGCAAATTAGCGCTTTACTGATGTATAAACATTTCTTAATAAATGCTGAGCATCTTTAGAATTTGAATGTTCTTACATGTTTTCTGGTTTGGAAAATATAAGAGTAAAACTTTTTTGAAAGGGGAAATTATTGCTATAAATAGTATTACAGCATCTGTTCAAGGTATTTGGAAAGTAATACTTTTCCATATTCCTTCTTTCTTTGTTTAGGATTATGAAGAAGGTTGTAGGTAACAGATCTGGCTGCCCTACCCAGGGGGATAAAGTTGTAGAACTCATTTACATTGATATAGTGGGACTCACGCAGTTTAAGAAAACCCTTGGTCCATCATGGGTACATTACCAGTAAGTATAACACTTATTTGACCTCTTAACTGCTTTGTTAAAGAGCTTTTGTTGAGTAACACATCAGAATACTGAGGTGAGTACATTTGCATAAATTTGAATTTATTTAAAAATGAAAATGTGGTTCTTTGTTGACTTTCATTCTTAGGAATAAAGGGGCTAGGACCTGTTTGTTGAATACCATCTTTATGCTCCCCAGAAAGTTTGGGGTTCTTGGATTCAAGCATTTTTAATCTTAATGAATTATATTATCTCATTGAGTCATTACTTTTGCCTTTTTTTCCCTTCTTTCTTTACACCACACCCCCTTTGTTCTGTAAATTAGTAGATGAGCTGAGAGATCATTGGATTTTTCTTGTTTAGTTGGAATACGAAAGGCATGTTTTGCTTGTCAATGTTTGTTGCTGTACTGGATTGATGATTGTGGAGATTTATCTAATTGTATTGGGCAACAACTGCAGTGCAATTTTTTATGTTCCATCCCTTAAGATGCTGGACAGAGAGTAGTCTTCAGGGATAGGTCTAAACCATAAACTGCAGTTGTGCTTCTCTAATCTATAAACAACTTTCCATTAGAAATGGAAGATGGTGGTCACAAGAAATTACTTTGTACAGCCTTCTTAGTGTCTGCAGTTTTAGAACCACATTTCTTTTTGTCAATAACTAAATCAGCAAGCTCCCATGTGTTGTGCCAGTACATATCAGCATGAAATAAACCCAAATCTATATTACTGACTTTGATTTTTCTACACACAATCGAATTAGCTGTGTTTCATGATCCATAAAGTCCAGTAAATCCTATTTGAAGGAAGGTATTGAAAGGTGTTCACTGCAGGCAGAAAAATTGTTTTCTTTTAACTTCAGGATTTTCTAGAGCTTTGGTTCTTTTAAGCGTATTTTTAAATGAGAGTCCTGTGGTCAATGTCACTGATTAGATTACTTTTAATCTCTCTTTTTTCTTTATTTTTTTTTTTTTAAGCAAAAGACTTAATGGTTATTCTGTTTTATAGAATCCTACTAATAAAGATAATCCCATTTTCCACTGAGCTACAGTTGGTTGTCTGCCATATGTAAATGTCACTAGATGATCATATACAGTATTATGGTCAGAATATAAACCCATACTTACAAATTTAACATGTTTCTCCCCTTTTGCTTTCAATTTCCTATTCGGTATGTTCTGTAATGGAGATATGGAAATACACCATGATATTGAGAATATTAGATTAGCTCTTCAATTTTTCTTGCTTATTTCATGAATCATTAAATCTCAAGTTGTCAGTCTGGTTTTCATCAATTCCTAATCTGTGGTAATGACTTACACTATCTGGTTTAGGAGAGTAGAATTAAATTTAACTCTAAATAAATGCCTTTGGTAGTATAGGAGGTTTTGTTAGACTTTTGAAGAAGAAAATAAATTCTTAATGCCTCTCTTCTGCAATCTTGGATTTCTTGAGATGGAGGAAGACCTCATCTAGTCCACAGCCTTGCTGAAAAGTAGATTGGATGTGTTTGTCCTTCTTGAGAGATTTTTGACTGCAAAAGATGTCTCAGCCACCATTTTGTATTGTTAAGCTTTTGTTTGAAGCGTTTTTTCTTGGCCTGATTTCTTCCAAAGTGCCCATAACTGTTTATTCTGATATGGTTCTGGAGAATAAATTGCTTCCTTCCCTCTCTGGCAACCTCTAGAGTATCTTTTATACTGTTTTTCCTTCAATTTGCTTTTATTCAAAATAAATTTAGGGGGTTTGATCATTAATTACAGTTCAGGTTTTTCAGACCTTTCATCAAACTTGTTGCATCTCTAATTCTCATTAGAGAAATCTCTCTAATTACTTGATACTTTCTTTCAAGTTCAGTGTACAAAATAGGGTCCAGAGTCTAGCAGGGACTACAGGATTGATTAGAGCAGAAGAATTAATTCATAGCTTCATGCATGCTATCTCCTGTTTGAGGATCCTCTTGCAATCATTTTTCTCTTAGCATCATGAGTTACCTCATAAATTTTGTCATCAAAATAATAAGTTAGAACTAGTAAGTACATTATAAAAGCATAATTATATGATTTTGTTTCATTCATTCTAGTAAAATACACATGATCATAAATAAAGCTGGCTTATAGCCCTCGTTCTTTACAAACTTTAATTTCTCATTCAGTTGTATTTAATGTCAATAGGAATAATTCTTTGTCTTGAAAGAAGTGTTTTGCTTTGTGCCATATAGTTTTCCAGCAGAAATGTGCAAGTCGGCTCAGTCTGATTTGTGCAAACCGGACTCAAATACAGATAAATTAAAACTTGTTTATTCACTTCAGATTGGAGTAGAGTGGTAGAATAGTGCCTGCAGAACAGTGTCTTGATAAGAGTGCCGTATGCAATCTTCGTGAGTGAACTAGAGCCCTGGGGATTTTTTTAGTAATTGCAAATCAGGTTTCTAGAACCGCTAGCTCAAAAGAATGACCCTGCAGCTCTGAGGGGTGGGTATTTTTGAACTGAAACGGTCTTTTGCACGTCTGAGATCTGTAGCACTCTCTGTAGTGACTCTCTGTAGTACATGCTTTACCCGAGTTATAATTGGTGCCATAGATAGTGTGAATCTAGCAAAACAGATCTCATTTTTGAGGTCAGTATTTTCAAGCAGAAGAATGCCTGGACATGCTGTGTTTTTCAGTTCTGAAGTCTGGGTATTTCAGAGCAATTTATGTGCAATGAAGCAACAAAAAAATTAGTAGCTTAATATAGCGTGAGGAGTGCAGCACATTGCCTTTCTTAGCACCCTCATCCTCCATACAGCACATAAAAATTGGATTTTTTTGGTTTTTTCCCACTTTTCTACAGTCTCTCTAGCAATGACTCATTCCCATATGCCAAAAATCCAACTGGCTTTATTCTTGAAATAAATTAACATGACAGTTATCCTAAAAAATGAGCAACATTCC